TAGTTTATTAGCAGAGGTTGGCTATTCATTGGGTGAATCTACACTGTAGAATTAATGCAGATTGACACCACCTTCCCGGTCACAGACTCAATGCTTTGGAATCCTGGGAGTAGTAGTTTTTGGGGCTTAGGTTAGTTTCGCATCAAATTATACATCCTAAGATTCCATTGCATTGAGCCATGGCAGATAAAGTAGCTCAAATAATATTCATTCTACAGTGTCGATGCACCCAGAATCTGAAATACTGAGGACTAGAAGCATTGGATTCTTTTTTTATTATTGGAATTTTGGGAGATTTTGGAATATTTGCGCATATATATCTATATCTATCCATCGATCTATCGATAGATAGTGTGTGTGTGTGTGTATCTGCATGGGCAAACGTGTGTGTGTGTGTGTGTGTCTGCATGGGCAAACTTGGGTCCTCCGGGTGTTTATATATATAGAGGGGGGGGGGAGAGGGAGGGAAAGGGGGGGGATGTCATCAAGATGGGATCCAAGTCTAAACACGAAATTAATTTAAATCTTTGAAACGTATTTATCTTTCATATATACCTAGCCTGGATATAATTTCAAACACAATGTTTTCAAAATGTTTTTTTTTTTCTAACCTGAACATACAATATGTTAAAAAGAATGTCCCAAAACAATATTTGTGTCAACTGAAGCATCAAAAAGCAAATGTTTCCCTGTCTCAGCCAACAACGTGGACAATTTTGGCTTTTGGAGGATTTCGGATTTCCGGATAAGGGTAGTTCAACCTATTTCATTATTCCGTAGTCGGAAGGGAACAGAAGCACCACGTCGAGCCCTTCTTTTTGCTTAGGCTCCACCTACAGAATAATGCGGTTTGAGCTCATTTCAGCTGCCACAGCTCAATGCTATGCAATCCTGTGGCTTGTAGTTTGAGGTTCACCAGCCCTCTTTGGCAAAGAAGGCGAAAGGCAAACCTGCCAGGCCATTCAATGCGAATCAAGCCAGCCAACTGTAACATTCACATTTGCCTTAAACAGACCAGAGTACTTTCTCCCACCCTGGACGTTCCACAGATATATAAACCCCACTTGCCTAGTTTCCAACAGACCTCACAACCTCTGAGGATGCCTGCCATAGATGCAGGCGAAACGTCAGGAGAGAATGCTTCTGGAACATGGTCATACAGCCCGGAAAACTCATAACAACACAAGGCGAAAGACGGGATTGAGCCATGGCAGTTAAAGTGGGGTCGAACTGCATTCATTCTATAGTACAGAAGCTGTAGATGAACCCTGAGTCGTTTCATTCCCCAATGACATCAGAAGTGTGGCTACTTCTTTCGGTTTTTGTCGTGGTTTCTTTTTGTCCACTGGGGGCGAGAAAAACAATTACATCTGTGGGTTGTTGTGAATTTTCCGACTTAGAGAAGACAATGATGCTTGGGAAAATGGAAGGAAAAAGGAAGAGGGCCGACCAAAGGAAAGATGGGTGGTATCCTTGAAGTGACTGGCTTGACTTTGAAGGAGCTGGGGGTGGTGACGGCCGACATTGAGGTCTGGCGTGAGCTGGTCCATGAGGTCAGGAAGAGTCGGAAGCGACTGAACGAAGGAACAACAACAAAAAGGCAATGTTTCTGAAGCATTCTCTCCTGACGTTTCGCCTGCGTTTATGGCAGGCATCCTCAGAGTTTGTGAGGTCTGCTGGGAACTAGGCAAGTGAGTTTCATCTGGACCATTCTTCCTACGAACACACCCTAAGAATTGGCTTGAAAATACAAAACATAGAAAGCTCTATCTATGCAGTTGAAACTATTCCCTTTTGGGAAACAACCTATCCGATCCAATGGATCAAAAGGGATGGCGAAGATGCGGATCCGACTCCATATTTGGACTTAACCAGCCCATTTTTTGTGGCTGGAAAAACCGGCACATTTAACAGAGACATTTCCTAAAGACGACCTTTCCTTTAGAGTCCAAGGAAAACAAAACAGGTTTGCGACATCCTTTTGCAACGGAAATTAAAACCCTGCATCGATTCGAGTGTGTTCTTATTTTGTAGTTGGATCTGTTTCCAAATACGGAGCACGGAGGGGGACAAATACAGCGGCTCGCCTTTCTCGACCTATTTGTGCAATGATATGTGATAATTCCTCCTCCGAAGCCAGCAGGGAGGCTGCTTTTGCTAAACTGGAAGGGTGAATCCTTCTGATCTGCCTGCCTGCCTGTGGATCAAAGATGTGCTTCCTAACCAGGATCACTGAAATCATGAAAAGCGGTGGAAGAAACCCTCCCTCCTGTCTTTCAGGGACTTAAATGCACCTATTTGCATCTGCAGCTCACTCAAAACCGCATTGGCATAGAGTTGTATGAGCAGAAAGACGGTCTGAATTGTGGTATGAATACTGGCTCTTTTGGCTGATACTACAGGAGGGCAAACTTGGGGCTTCTAGGGGTTTTGGACTCACTCCCACCATTCTTAACAGCCTCCTCCTTTTTTTTTTTTTTTGTTTTTTTTTTTATTTTTTTTTTGTTTTTTTGTTTTTTTTTTTTTTTTTTTTTTTTTTTTTTTGTTTTTTTTTTCCCCCTCAGTTGCCGAGCGGCTGAGGGGGAAAAGGAAGGGGCCTGAGGCTGTTAGGAATGGTGGGAGTTGGAGTCCAAAACCCCTGGAGGGCCCAAGTTTCAACCCACCACAAGTTCATATAAAGCCTATTTTATCTATTTCGGAATGGATTCAAAGCTCCCTCCCTCCTTCTCCAACATGCATAGAAGAGATAAGATCAGGCATCACGAAAAGACACGGCCTCGGTACCACAGGCAGGATCTTATTTTAGAAATATTTAATTGCCATATTAATAGAAGCGTGAGTGCTTGGGGGGGGGGGAGGAGGAGCAGGCGGCCAATGGCAGGAGAAAGAGGGGCTCAGGCAGGCTGGTCCAAAGAGGCTGAAGGCTGCAACCCTGTCCTCACTTGCCTGGGAGGGAGGAAGCGCAGAGAAAGCCACCGGGCTGACTTTGGGAGGGGAAAATACACACCGAATTGCGGTATCTGTCAAGGTTTTGTAACGCCTGCCTCCTCGCTATTCCCACCCATACAGCAGAAATTAGTATTCCTTGCTGCAGGATTGGAAATAGTCTACATATTTTTTTTTAAAAAAGTTGAATAGTTGTGATGTTTTTGGTAAAAGCGTACGAAATGCCATGTAGCAACACTTCAGGGATACAGCTCTCACATGATACAGAAGCGTGATCTCCCTGTTTCCATACACACACACACACACACACACATATCGAGAGAGAGACAGAGGGCATAAAATGCGGTTTTCAAAGGAACTATTGATATTACAAGAGTATATACGCGAGACCCCATCGATATGAGACACACTCTCTCTCTCTCTCTCTCTCTATATATATATATATATATATATATATACACACACACACACACACACACACACACACACACGTATTAGAAGGGCATATATGAGAGACCAAAATATATACGCACTATATATACGTACACACACACACATGTATGTATTAAAAGAGCATATAGAGGAGAAAAAATATGTACATATTTATGTATATGTATATGCACCATATATATGTACACACATATGTATTAAAGAGCATATAGGGGAGACCAAATATGTACATATTTATGTATATGTATATGCACTATACACACAAACATATGTATTAGAAGAGCATATATGAAAGACCAAATATGTACATATTTATGTATATGTATATACACCATATATATGTATATACACACATATGTATTAGAAGAGTATATAGAGGAGAACAAATATGTACATATTTATGTATATGTATATGCACCATATATATGTACACACATATGTATTAAAGAGCATATAGAGAACAAATATGTATATATTTATAGATATGTATGTGCACTATACACACACACACACACACACACGTATGTATTAGAAGACCATATACGGGAGACCAAATGTGTACATATTTATGTATATGCACTATATATACATATATACACACACATGTACGTGTGTGTAGTGTGTGTGTGTGTGTGTGTATGTGTGTGTGTGTGTGTGTATATATATATATACATACACCATGTACATATTCGGTATATACAAGCATATATATGGGAGACTCTGTCGATATGAGACTCTCTCTATTTATATTTGAGTACATTTTCCACAGACTCCTTTCAATCCTCTTTCCCATGATGAGTCCTCAAAGCCTCAGGCAATCTCTTAAACTGGTCCTTTTCTCTGGCCAGAAACTCCAACACATAAACTCGTGCATATTTGGTCTCTCCTATATGCTCTTCTAATACCGTTGGCTATTTTGAAAAACCCCATGTTGTGCTCTTTTACATGTCACAACACCAAAGCAATGACATCTGCAAGGTTGACTTTCCGCCAAGCGATAGCCACATTTTCGGATAGAATGAATTCGCCATCTTTTAAAGCTTCCTTTCTCCTCCTTTTTGCCCCACTACTCCTCGCCCAAACAATTGCCCTGACGAGCTAAACATCGAAGAAGAAAGCCTGAAGACCCCCCTCTCCCCTCAAAGAACCCACTAAGGTATTCGTGGAGGCTTTGGCTTCACGGCGTGGGAGGCGGGAAAGGGGGTCCCTCTCCCCACCCCTTCTGCACTGGGAGCTTGGAAAGGAGCAGCAGTGGGGTGTGAGGTGGGCCCTCGCCCTCCCCCTCCATCTGCAGTCTTTCCGAGGCGTGGGTGTTGCTGTTGGGGAAAGAAAGAGGGGAGGGAGACGTCGATTTTGGTGGGGATTGGCAGTCCCTCCCCCAGAAATGCAGCAAACCCTGCCTGGCGCGAGCCCCCCCCCCTCCGCCTCCCCTCCCCTTCCTTTCCTTCGGAGGGAGGCTGGAGAGGCGTCGTGCGCGCAGCCCAAGGCTTGCGTTGGCAGTCTGGTGATCGCTGCCCGTCCCTTTGCTCCCCCCCCTTTCTCTCTCTCTCTCTCTCTCTCTGTTCACAGTCTCTCTCTTTTCCCTCCCCCCTTCCCTCCCCCAGGCTCCTCTGCACCGCATTGGCACCAAGGAAGCCGGAGCGACAACGCAGCCGCCTCTCTCTCCCTCTCAATCTCTCTCTCTCTCTGCGCTTCTCCTTCAGGACGAGGAAGGACGCCGTCGGGGGCGCGGAAGAGAAGCGCTGGGAGGCCGGGGCACAAGGGCAGGCTGCCAGCCTCGACGAAATCCTCTCCCACCCGCCTGGACCCCTTTCTGGACCCTTTCTCCGCTCCGAGGAGAGGAAGAAAGGCCGGACTGGAGTTTGGGGACGGTGTCATGGTCCAAGGGGCCCCTCAGGGGAGGCGACGACGGTCCAGCGCCAAGCGGGAGTGGAGATAGCGCCCCGGTAAGGCCACTCGCCCCTTGCCCCCCTCGGAGAGGGAAGCGCCCACGTCTTCTCACCTTTCTCTCGCCTTTCCTGCCCCCTGCGCTCTGAGGCGACCCTTATTCTCCCCGCTCGCCCTCGAGGCTCCTCCGCCCGGCCGCCATGGCGACGCTGATCCGCAGCAAGCTCTCCAATGTGGCCACCTCGGTCTCCCACAAGTCCTCGGCCAAAGTCAGCGGGATGTTCGCCCGCATGGGCTTCCAGGCGGCCACCGACGAGGAGGCGGTGGGCTTCGTCCACTGCGACGACCTGGACTACGAGCACCGGCAGGGGCTGCAGATGGACATCCTCAAGTCCGAGGGCAGCGGCGAGGAGGGAGGCGGCGAGACGCCCTTGGAAGGGGACACCCACTACCAGAGGGACGGCACCGGGCCCCTCCCGCCCTCCGGGTCCAAGGAGCAAGGCCTCGCCGCCGCCGAGCAGGACAGGCCCCGCATCACCGCCTGGGAGGCCGGGTGGAACGTCACCAACGCCATCCAGGTAAAGAAGGGCTCTCTGGAGGGCATCTAGACCAGGCTTGGGCCAACTTGGGCCCTCCAGGGGTTTTGGACTCCAACTTCCACCATTCCTAACAGCCTCAGGCCCCATCCTTTTCCCCCTCATCCGCTAAGCTGTTAGTAATGGTGGGAGTTGGAGTCTAAAACCCCTGGAAGGCCCAAATTTGCCCAAGCCTGGTCTACACTGTCATATAATGCCCTTTGAACCATATAATGCAGTTCAATGCAGGTCAGACGCCATTGTATAGCAGTGCAGAACCTGTCTCCACCGCTAATCTTTCAAAATCCAAACTAATGCTACGATTTCAAGTATAAATCTCCTTGGAGAAACAAAGCGAGCTTGTCCTTGTACCTCATCATACTAGAGAATGAATCCGCTTCGAATCCGGTTTCTGCCTCCTGCAGAATTCTGGGGTTTGTAGTTTAGGGAGCAGCTTTTAACAGCCTCACTAAACTACAAACCGGATTCGAAGCGGATTCATTCTCTAGTGTGATGAACCGCTTTCCTTTCTTCTATATCTTTTCCCCATGCCTGAGTTCAACCCGCCAGTTCAGTTCATATAAAACATATTTTATCTCTGAGGATGCCTGCCATAGATGCAGGCGAAACGTCAGGAGAGAATGCTTCTGCAACATGGCAATACAACCTGGAAAACTCACAACCCAGTGATTCCGACCCTGAAAGCCTTCGATAATACATTATTATTATTATTATTATTATTATTATTATTATTATTTTACTGACACAAAAACACAGTATGTCACAGCAAACGAGATATATATGCTGGGTTTCGTATCACAAAATCACAAGTCGAACACTTCCCAAGCGTCTATTATTATTATTATTATTATTATTATTATTATTATTATTACTACCCTGTTTTATCTGCCCAAAGGGAACTCAAAACGGCTTGACATAAAAAGCCTTAATATACAATGTAAAATATACAAAAACACAAACATTAAAATAGAATTAGACACAAGCAGCATTTTAAAAATTCAAAGTTAAAATACATCAACACAACCCATCCAAACAGTTTAAAAAACCACAGCACCACAGCATATACACATAGGATGCTAGTAGTTGTAAACTGAACAAATCAATGCAAATGCCCATCGAAATATGATACTAACATCAATATTATTACTACCATCCCCAATAATAGTCATATTATTATATAATAACAGCATATAGATCTCGCTTGCTGTGACATACTGTGCTTTTGTGTCAAAATAATAATAATAATGTAATAATACTAAAATACTACTAATAATAGTAAAGCTGCAGAGGGGGGAAAGGAAGGGTCCTGAGGCTGTTAGGAATGGTGGGAGTTGAAGTCACCTGGAGGGCCCAGGTTGGCCCAAGCCTGGTCTACACCAACCCACTCCTCCAATGAGGGGAGGGGGATCTAGGAGGGACGATTGGCTGGATCTTCTTGGACAGGATAGCTGCTAGGAAGAACACAGGGTTTCCAAACGCATCCTTGGGTGCTTATTGACCATCATAGACCTGGAAGGACCATCCAGTCAGTCACCCCATTCTGACACAAACCAAAGCACTCCTCTCAGATGGCCACTGAGATGTTTAGAAACCTCCAGAGAAGGAGGGCCCTTCCACACAGCCATATAACCCAGAATATCAAAGTGGAAAATCCCACATTATCTGAGTGTGGACTCAGATAACCCAGATATTGTGGGATTTTCTGCCTTGATATTCTGGCTGTATTGAAGGGCCCAGAGGCTCCCTCACTGTAGAAGCGCTCAGTCAACCTTCAGAGCATCCAGGAAGGATGGTTCAAAGAATGCCAAACGCTGACATTCCCTCTCTTTCTCCTTCTTGGAACTGATCTCAACCCGAAAATCTGCTTTGAACTGGGTTAGCTGAGCCCACACACAGATAATGTGGGATTTTCTGCCTTGATATTCTGGGATATAGGGCTGTGTGGAAGGGCCCTAAGAATCATTTTGATGCCCCCGATGGCGCAATGGGTTAAACCCTTATGCGGGCAGGGCTGAAGACCGACAGGTCTGAGGTTCCAATCCGGGGAGAGCATGAATGAGCTCCCCCTGTCAGCTCCAGCTCCCCATGCAGGGGACATGACAGAAGGATGTTAAAGCATCAGACATCCGGGAGTCCCCTGGCAACGTCCTTGCAGACAGCCAATTCTCTCACACCAGAAGTGACTTGCAGTTTCTCAAGTTGTTCCTGACAAATAATAATAATAATAATAATAATAATAATAATAATAATAATTGGGAGACATAAGCTTTGGTGGACTCTAAAAAGAGAAAAGATTGCACATGTGCGTATAGAGGGAGAGCCGCATTACACAAATGTTCCGCTTCTTCTTTCTTTCCACATGAATACGCGCCTTTTTAGAACATAAATCTGGTGCATAGCTTCGCTTCTGACACGGCCCTGGACATCAACATGACTGAGGCAACAGATGGCCCAAAGAGGAGCTGCTCTTCCCTCCCTGGGGCCTTTGCCATCCTCCCCGCCTCCATCCCTGTGCATTCAGCCGGATGGAAACTCGCAGGAGGAGAAAAGGAAAACACAACACACAGCCGAGCCTTTCCGCTTCCTCTTTTGCGGTGCGGTACAGAGCCTACAATCCTATGCCTGCTCACAATGGATTCAGAGCATATTATCATTATCATTATCATTATCATTATCATTATCATTATTATTATTATTATTATTAGAACCTCTGAGGATGCCTGCTATAGATGCAGGCAAAACGTCAGGACAGAATGCTTCTGGAACATGGCCATACAGCCCGAAAAACTCACAACAACCCAGTGATTCCGACCATGAAAGCCTTCGATAATACATTATTATTATTATTATTATTATTATTATTATTATTGATACCTGTTTTATCTCCCCAAAGGGGACTCGAAGCGGCTTGATATAAAAGCATGAATGCACAATTTATAATGTACAGAAATGCAAACATTAAAATAAGATGAAACACAAGCAGCATTTTAAAAATTCACAGTTAAGATCCATCAAAACAGACAATCATCGAAACAGTTAAAAACCACAACACCAGAGCATGTACACATAGGATGCTAGTAGTTGTAAATTGGACAAATCAAGGCACCATCGAAATATTATTACAAATAATACTAATATTAATACTACTACTACTAATACTACTAATTGTCGCTGTTCTCATCCTTAACTGCGAAAGTGAGGCGCCGAAAGAGAAGAATTCCTATTCAGATAGATTAGCCACACTTGGCAGAAGGAAATTACATTCAGGAATGGTTTCCTTACCCACCCACCCTCCCGCCCCCGTTTCAATCGGATGTACCAGTCCGAAAAGAGAGGAAGCACTATTGATCAAGAGGTGTATTTGTATAGCGATGAATTGTATTTACATATCTATGCTACATTTTTTTCCCATTTGGGATTAAGGAACTCTCCCAAGATCTCTGCTGAGATCGATCCATTCATTGATCTTCAAATTAGGGTCAAACACAATTCAAGTTGATATTTATGTGGCTTGCTCTTTTCAGCAAGCTTTCTGGGTGTGGGTAGGCTATAGCAATCTGAAATTCAATCTACATTCATCAAAATCAAAATAGGAAAGAAACGTTCTTTGTTGAAGCTCAAGATGGCATAAATCATATTATTATTATTATATTATTATTATTATTATTATTATTATTATTATTATTATTATTATTATTATTATTATTATTATATTGTCAAAGGTTTTCATGGCCGGAATCACTGGGTTGCTGTGAGTCTTCCYGGCTGTAAGGCCATGTTCCAGAAGCATTCCCTCCTGACGTTTTGCCTGCATCTAAGGAAGGCATCCTCAGAAGTTGTGAGGGCCTCAAAACCTCTGAGGATGCCTGCCATAGATGCAGGCAAAACATCAGGAGAYAATACTTCTGGAACATGGCCATACAGTACGGAAACCACTCACAGTAAACCATTATTATTATTATTATTATTATTATTATTATTATTATTATTATTATTATTTATTATTATTATTATTATTATTATTATTATTATTATTATTATTTCTCCATTTTTACCCTAGGAACCAGARCCAAACCCTATGCCACTTAAAACTGAAGGGACTCCCATGTGATTTAATGGAGTTTACTTCTGAGTAYCCATCTAGGCAGCTATAAAACAGACCCAGCAGCCAGCTATGCAGTTTCTTGTCCTTTTCTGAAAGGCTCTGTGGTTTTTTATGGAACTCAATAAGAACGTTTTCTATATAAAATCCCCCTTCTGTGCACAGTCAGTCATACCTGTAGCAATATTGGTTTGGGCATTAGTGTGATATGGAAGAGAGGGATGAAATTGGCAATAATTGTCATGCTATTATTGTCCCTGATGATGTGTCAAGAGCTGTGCAAATTAAAAACAAAATACACAGCACCAAGGGTTCACTGAAGACTGAAAAGAGGTATGGAATGAGAAGGGACAAGGATATTTGCCAGTGATTTTAGCAGATTTCTGCATTTTAAGTGTGTATGTGTGAATATAGGAATCTATGAGCCACCTCTTTCATTGCTTGCGATCCCAACAAAAATGGCTCTGGAAGTGCATTTCAGATAGCAGCATTAAAATGAGATGATGAATATAATATTGACAGCAATCCTGTTGAGGATGGTGTATTACTTATGGCCATGCTAACTTTAAAGTGAAATCATTTTATTTTTTTAGAGTTCAAAAATCCCTTTAAATATTGGGATTTTTACTTGATAAAAATCTGGAAATATTTTGGGATAATACATATCTGCTCTGTTTTAATTTTTATTTGAATACATTGAACAGCAAGGGGGGAACCCAGTGTTTTGCTGTCTGCTTTGGTTTATGTGTTGGAAGAGAGAACTACCCCAGGGTAAATAAATGAGCAATACAGTCTCCATTTTGTTTCTTTCTAGGGGATGTTTGTCCTCGGTCTGCCCTATGCTATTCTTCATGGTGGATACCTAGGACTCTTTTTAATTATTTTCGCAGCAGTGGTTTGCTGCTACACTGGGAAAATCCTCATTGCCTGTCTCTATGAAGAGAATGAAGATGGGGAGACAGTCAGGGTGAGAGACTCCTATGTGGACATTGCTAATGCTTGCTGTGCTCCCAGGTTTCCCGCCCTTGGGGGCAGGATTGTAAATGTGGCTCAGATCATAGAGTTGGTCATGACCTGCATCCTCTACGTGGTGGTCAGCGGCAACCTGATGTACAATAGCTTCCCCAACTTACCAGTGTCCCAGAAATCATGGTCCATCATTGCCACAGCAGTGCTCCTGCCTTGTGCTTTCTTGAAGAACCTCAAGGCTGTCTCCAAGTTCAGCTTGCTCTGCACCTTGGCCCATTTTGTGATCAACATTCTAGTGATTGCCTACTGCCTCTCCAGGGCACGTGACTGGGCGTGGGATAAAGTCAAGTTTTACATTGACGTCAAGAAGTTCCCCATCTCCATTGGCATCATTGTCTTCAGCTACACCTCTCAGATCTTTCTGCCTTCCTTGGAAGGGAACATGCAGAACCCCAAGGAATTCCACTGCATGATGAACTGGACTCACATAGCCGCTTGCATCCTGAAGGGACTCTTTGCCTTGGTAGCCTATCTGACTTGGGCAGATGACACAAAAGAAGTCATCACAGACAACTTGCCATCAACCATTAGGGCTGTTGTTAACATTTTCCTGGTGGCCAAAGCCTTGTTGTCCTACCCATTGCCCTTCTTTGCAGCTGTGGAGGTCCTGGAGAGATCCCTCTTCCAAGATGGAGCCAGGGCCTTCTTCCCCAATTGCTATGCAGGGGATGGGAGGATTAAATCCTGGGGGCTGACCCTTCGGTGTGCATTGGTGGTTTTCACCCTGTTGATGGCCATTTATGTCCCACATTTTGCCCTCCTGATGGGGCTCACAGGGAGCCTCACAGGTGCTGGTCTCTGTTTCCTCCTTCCCAGCCTCTTCCATCTCAAGCTTTTGTGGAGAAAGCTCTTGTGGCACCATGTCTTCTTTGACGTGGCCATTTTTGTAATAGGTGGTATATGCAGTGTGTCTGGGTTCATTCACTCTTTAGAAGGCCTCATCGAGGCTTTTAGAGACAATACAGAAGACTGAAATCTGGACTGAGCTGGTTTTATTCAGAAGTGGAGGAAAGAGAAAGAGAAATCACACAGAACATCTGCATAACCAATTGTTGAGGCATCCCCATGAAAGAGAAATGTTGTTATTTTAGTGAAATATTCCCAAACAATTCTATCATCCAACCTTCAGCAAAGTTTCCAGACCAAAAACTTACTCTGCAGACTTTTTAAGTAAACTACTGGGGAAAGGATATATAGATATATATTTTGTATGATTTAGATATTATCAGAGAGAAAATATTGGAATTATTTCCCAGTCCCATTACACTCAATAGTCTAAACTGTCTAATCTTTATAAGGAAAGTCAAATGTTCTATTTGGAAATAGTGAAACATTTTGCAAATGTATGCAATTGAGTCTCATTAAGAAAAAAAATATGTCAGCCCAATTGTTTGGAGTCACTGTGCTGAAACATATCATTTGGTGAACCTTTATGTAAGATCTAGACTGTAAATGGCCGTGATGACCAATAACGTCTTCAATGGGCAGTAGTGTTTACATTGTATATTAAATAACAAGTAAGGCTGGCTTAATACTTCCATACCAACTCATGTCCCAAACCAGCGCTTCCCATTTTTGATTAAGAAACCTGGCCTCCAGTGAGATCAGAGACTTGAAGTTCAGTTCTGGATTGGAACTTTTTTCCTTTTTAAATTACAAAAAATAGAAAAACAAACAGATAGATAAATCAGTGGATTTCAAAAGTATTCTGGATATGAAACCAACACACACACACACACACACACACACACTCAAACAAGAAAACCATTCTGTGCAACTACCAGATCTGTGGAGCTGTTTCAAATGTATGTGTGCTGTAATTGTGGTAAATAAGATGACAAATGTATATCAGAAAATTTATCTTTAACATATAATGTGATACATAAATATATCAAACAATAAAGAGAAACCGTAATAACTGTGGCTGGAATTGTTTATTCTGGGGAATGCCCAAGGTCATTTAAACAATGTTGTGCTGTAGTGCGTTCAAAACAGTGCACTTACATTGCATTATTGCAACAACCCACACAGGTCTGAATTGTATTGGTAGACCCAGCTAGAGAAGATCCATTGAATCAATTATTGAATGGTAGAGAAGATCCAACTGTTTGAAGGATTAGCAATATGATTCAGACCTACATTTACAATTCTACATACACTGATGTGTGGCCAATTGAATATAGAGGGTTTATAAGCTTGGTCAATATTATTGTAGATACAAGCCAGAGGCTGAGAAACCTGGGCTTGTCTATTAAGACATGTATATTGTGGATACTGTTGGAGCATTTGAGCTGTTAGGCTTAAAATAACCCTCAGTTGGGGCAATTCTACCAAAATATAGCAGAGTACTAAGCAGAGTAAACTCCATAACCAGCAGAAACTTACATGTGGTGAGAAGGGATAGCCTTCAAATCTTTAGGATGACTCAGGTTTAAAAATATTTATTAAAGTTAAAGAAATACATTATTGATAGAAGAGGTCTTGGAGCTAACTAGCTTACTAAATCTTATCTTCCAAAGAAGGTTAAAAAAAAAGTCCATGCAGCTATGTTTTGCCTACAGAGAGGCAAAATGTGTCCTCACTGAGAGAAAGGAAAACTGAATTAACATGGTGGGAGACCACATGGCCTTCATGGGGCAATTTAAACTTAAAAGGAAGTTCCATCACATAATTCCATTACTAGTCATCAAAGGAGGAGGAGACAGTGGCTAGCAGTAAAGACAAAAGACAAAGCCCTTTTGGGAAACATTCATTGGAATGTGGTGAAATGAATCCCTGAGCTTAGCCTTGTCTCTAGTCTAGCTACTCATTGAGGACTAGGAACTTGATGACACAAAAACAGAGCAGGGTACAAGGTTCAAAATCTTGGATTTCCTGTATAACAGTTGGATAGATTTTAATTCAGATATGAGCCTCACTAATTCCAATGGGTCAGCAACAGTAAGTGTGTGCAGGCTTACACACTCTATCCCTAAGACTAATTCTTATCTAACCTAAGTAATAGGAAACCTTTGCTTCTCTAGATGATTTGGGCTTCAATACCCAGAAACATGGCCAATAGTGAGCTGAAGTCCAAAACAACTGAAGGGACTAAAGTTCCTTATTTCTGCTGCATAGCCAAAGTGTGATGAGAAACACTTTGACATACAGAGGCAGCCATTGTGAAAAATAGGTTCCTGCTTCACATTCATTCCAAGATGTCTTGACTAGACTAGGAAGACAAAATAATATGTTTTGACTGGCCTCCCAGCTGTTTTTTGTTTTTATTTTACTGTCAATCATGTTTGTGTTTTCAGTCCCAAATCCTATTCTTCATTTCAAGTGTAGAGATTTGACATAGCATTTGTTACTACAAAAGTAGCAATAGGTGACTTGTGTTTTCATTTTATAGATGGGTTGCTTCCCTTTGGATGAGATGGGAACTGAACTCTAGCTTCTACCAAGTTTAAGAATCAAAGAGCACATTCAGAACCATCAAATAGCATAGCTCTTTCTGGAAACATGTGTATGGGTTCTTTCAAGTCACTTGTTGACTTACAGCAACTCCATGAGTTGCCTCCGGTTATTTACCATATAAATATGGTAAATAAAATAAATAATGAGCACCATAGTTTTCTCTTAGGCAGGGAATACTCAGAGATGATTTTGCCAATTCCTTCCTCTGAAATATGTCTGGTATTCATTGTTTTTCCCCTATCCAAGTACTAATTAGGGCTGACCCTTCTTAGCTTCAAAATCTAATGCCTAGGGTGTTTAGGCACACACACACACACACTCATATGTGCATCCACTCCATTTGTGGAAAGCTAAAAACTTTTAAAGTTGCTAATTAGGCTATAACTCTCAGAAAGCTCAAGTATGCATAACTGGGGATTCTGGGTGTTGTAGTGGCAAAATAATGATCCCACATTCTTAAGCTCTGATTAAAATGAGATGCAGATGATTACTTCCTGATATGTTGAGAGGTGGCTTTAAAATATAGGCAAAATGTTTTATTTGGCTTTTTGTGTTTGTGGGGAGATTTGAGCATACTCTCTGTGTTTGTGGGGAGATTTGAGCATACTCTCAGAGTGTGAGGCAGTCTGGTGAGCTGGTAATGTCTTATCTCACCTCTTAGTTTGGTGCTCCTCTCCTGAAGAAATCAAATGAAATGGGACAGAGATTGCCTTTCAGATGTTTTCACTTTTGCATTTTTCCTGTTGAGGTTTGGATTCCAAATCTCAGATATCATATTGACATATAGTAATATGAAAAATCTGAAGGGCTCCTTGCAAGATGTGACTGCTTAATTTATTTGGCAACTGTGTTATTTGTGGATTTTTGTTTTCTTTCTAGCTTTGGGTGACAAGGTTATATTCATCAAAGAAAAGAGACAAGTGTTCATACATGTCAGTGTGCAATTTCTTCACCTACAATAGTAGATACTTCCTTAGATCTGTACATTATTTTAATGTAAAGAGGAGAAAGTCAATTGCATCACAGCATACTCAATATTTAGTGCTAAAACATAGTGAGTGATGCTTTATTTATTTGTGGTATTTGTATACTGCCCTTCTCAACCCCGACTCAGGGCGGTTCACAGTGTTGGAAGATATGAGAATTTAAAACAGAAGGAAACGGATTTTTCCTAATAATTAGGTATGTGTTTGGTATTGCAATATATACTGTGGTGCAATAAAGAGCAGGATTGTAAAAAAAAAATGTAACAAAACACAAGTCTTTCCAGATTTCAGATTCACAACTATTACCATGTATTACTTATATAACTATAGAGCTTGGACAATTGCTTTTCAGCTTGAGCATAATGGAATTGTCCCTTGTCCTGAGTTTCCAAACAACAAAAAAAATCAGAACCCAGAATCCCCAATTCCTGTTTACTCCCCCAACCTGGTGCCCTCCAGAAGCCTTGGTCACACTCAGACCATCTGAACTCTAGAATCAATTTAGTTTGACACCACTTTTACTGACATCTGAATACTGTGGAATCCTGAGATCTGTAGTTGGATGAGGCACCACAACTCTTTGGCAGAAACCTTGTAAAACTGCAATTCCAAGGATTCAATAGCATTGAGCCATGGCAGTTAAATGTTTTTCAGGTTGCATTAATTCTACAGGGCAAATACACGTTAGGACTTCCTATTGTCAGGAGCCATTCTGTTTTGCTGATGATAGGGCTTGTGTTCTGGACGATCTGAAAGACTTCTGACTGGAGGAAGGATGCGATACCCCCTTACATAGGAGATATTTAACTTAGTGGAACTCAGGGCCCTTCCAGACACACCCTATATCCCAGGATCTGATTCCAGGCTTTCTGCTTTAAATCAGATTATATGAGTCCCCATTGCCAGATAATTTGGGATAAACAAAAAACCTGGTATCAGATTTTGAATAGAAGGCCTGTCTGGAAGGGCTCTTAATCAAAAATAAATATACATACCACTGCATTATAAACTCTCTATTTTTCCTGATAAAACTGTACTATCTAGGTTCCAACTTGCCTGTCTTTTACTTTTAAATAAGGAAAAATTCCAAGAGTGACTCCTAGTGGGCAGATAAGATTTCCTCAACATTGCAAAACAGTTTTGAAAAGAAGCTTCGAGAATCCCAAACACTTCTGCAATCTGATATATATATATATATATATATATATATATATATATATATATATATATATAGCAATATAGTCTAAATGTTTTAACCTTGCAGGAAAAAAAGCAATTTTCATGTCATATATATGGAGTACGGGCATATTTTACATTTTCTTTTTGACATCTTTTTGATGAACGATTCACTTCACTTATACATGAGAATCAACTTTTGCAATCACTTGGAAGATTGCAAAAATCAAATCTGTAGAAATTAAAACAGACTTTTCCTACAATGGGGAAAGGGGTAGTTAGATCTATCATGCTCTCTGGAACAGAACACTTTAGTCCTATGTTTAGGTGGGAGGAGCTAATGGGTGTTTTGGTGCTGAACTTGGAGACCAGGCTTCAAATTCCTACTTGACCATGGAAACACACTAGGTGACCTTAGAAAAGCCACATTCTCTGAGTTTCAGAGGAAGGCAAAGGCAACCCTCCTCTGAGCAAATCCTGCCATGTAAAACCCCATCATAGGTTCACTTTAGATCTGCCATGTTGGAAACTACTTGAAGGCACACAAGGCCAATTGAACTCTATGGGGCTGCTTCCTTATGAACAGGGATTGCATTTAAAATAAATAACAACTGGTGTTTAAATGTGTGTGTTATGTTTTTTTTTGTCGTGTCAGGAGCAACCAGTCCTGTTGTGTTATGTTATGTTAAACACTGAAGATAATAGTATGCATGCATATGTGCATGTATTTGTGTAGACATATTGACCTAGAACAGTGGTTCTCAACCTGTGAGTCCTCAGATGTTTTGGCCTTCGACTCCCAGAAATCCTAACAGCTGGTAAACTGGCTGGGATTTCTCGGAGTTATAGGTCAAAACACCTGGAAACCCATGTTGAGAACCACTGACCCAGAAGCTGAGGACAATACTGTTGGTATTATGCAAATGCTTGTGGACACTAAAGGGTCAGTCGCTTAACTGAAGCAATGAGATAAGCCATTTGACAATAGCCCATCTTCCTTAAAGCATTACATAAAGCAGAGGTTTAAAAACTGAATACACATACACACAGCTGGAAGCTGAGCAGGTAGGAGATAAAAATAAAGACAGAGTCAAAAGTTAAAACTTGTGTGCCACCTGCACCCATATCTTGGGAGGTCTGACTTGGCCACAGTGGTCCATGCTCTGGTTACATCCCATATAGATTACTGCAATGCACTTTACGTGGGGTTGCCTCTGAAGATTGTTCAGAAGCTCCAGCTAGTCCAATGCTTGGCAGCCAGGTTGCTCACTGGAGCAGGGTACAGGGAGCGTACAACCCC